GGCGCTGAGTGACCCAGGCTCACGCCGCCACGAGTGGTGCCACCTCTGTGACCTTTATAAAACTCTGATCGCGACAGCAGTACAAGCGATAGAAAGAACATCTCTTATACACATCTGAATAAATACAGCCCGCGCCGGGCGTGGGGGGGGAGGCGGGGCAGTGCCAGCGACACATGCAGCGACTGAACAATCACAAGCGGCCGACGGGGCATGTGACAACACAGAGACGCGTGTAGAGCTTTGCTCGGACCGGGCTCCGGCCCTCAGGGAGCTGAAGGAGGCATCAACGGGACGTGAAATGTGTGAGAAGACGGCAAGGGCAGCCCACCGGAGGTGCGGGGACTGGTGGACACACGCTCCCATGGCGGGCACAGTGCTCTTCTCGGCAGAAGCAGGCAGGGTAGCCCAGCTACATTTCTGTTTCTGCTAAGAGGCTGTCACCGAGACCTGACGTCATCAGGACCATCTGGGAGCTGGAATCTGTGGAGCGAGAAGGGAGAAAACCATGAGCCATTTAGGTTAGCAGAGAGCACGGGGCTGTACTCCAGACCCAGAGGTGAGGATGAGGAATTAGAGCACCGCAGGGTGGGAAGGGAACAGCTGAGAGGACTGTGAGATTTAAGTCATAACTAGGTCTACTCTGGCCACGCAGCAGAACAGAATCAATGTCTGGGGAGGGGAGAAGGCAGACACAGCAGTGAGAGCTCCAGGGTGGGGATCTGAGAAACATCAGCTCTGAACCACTTGCAGGTGATAGTGGTTGTGGTGGCCCAGCCATGCCCTTACCCAGCCCTCCACACACCTTTAGATCTGCACTTACCGAGGGCGAGCTAGAGCAAGTGCCCAGGTGGGATGGGCTGGCAGGCTGCAAGCCAGCCAAACCCACGTAGGGCGGTGGTGTTGCCTTCCCAAGAGCAGGGAGCACAGCAGGCAAGCAGCCATTTTATGGCAACAGAGGCCTGGAAATCCTGACTTTCTGTGCTGCATGAATGGAAGGTTTTGTGCAGCCCTCCTCGGCCTGCCTTGGGAACATGAAGGCAGCTTGCTGGCTCTCTGTGATGGCACAGAGCGCCAGCCAGGAACGCTGTGACTCTCCCCACACCAAGTGGATCAGCTGCAAGGAGAATGGGCACGCAGAGCAAGTAGGAAACTCGGCAGGGTACCAGTTTCCCATCCAGAAGCCTTTTTAAACAGAAAAAAAAATTGTTTTTTCGTGGCTATGAGGGAGGAGATCTTTAGTAGCTCTGTGCTTCAGAGCCAGAGTCCTATACATTGAAAACTGCTGCATGGGATCTCTATCTTGGGGATCAGTTTCTGGAAACTGGATCTAAAACTTGGCCAGAGCTGTCAGTAAAGGATGTTTATGGCTCTAATAAATGAGGATCCAGATGTTCTGAGGCCCAGAGAATGGCTGTGCTTGTCTGTTGCTAGTCCAATATGAGAACTGGGAAGAGCAAAGGACAACTAAAGGTAAAAAAACCCCAAACCCAAGCCATCAGGATCACAAGGTAAGCATGACAATATACAATATCATATATACAGACAATACACAACAGGCTACTACTATCTCCATAATACACCTTTTTTTCTGTTACAGACTGGCTGTGGCACCTGGCTAACCCTTCACACGTTTGAGATGCAGAGACAGGAATAGCTGATGCTGTGCAGATTGCAGGGAGGTTCTGGAAGCAGTGAGGAATGACACGAGTTTTGGCTAGGATATCTGGCAAAGGCTCCCAAGATCTTTAATGCTCCTGCCCTTGAGTTTTAAGACTTTGCACAAAGATTTTGTTCCTGCAGCATCAGGGAAAACGCCTCTGAAGTACTGTTTCCACTCATTGCAGCAGCCGCATCGTCCTTGGAGGCTGCCTTTCCAAGCACGGCTCAGCCCAACGCTATTTAACATGAAGGTCATGCCTGGAAGCTGTCTGGATTCCAGTTCACAGGGATAAGGGACAGGTCTCATTCACCAACCCCATCAGGAGAGACCAGTGGCACTGGAAACACCCCAGACACCCCAATTCCTGCCTGTCAGCCCCTACACCCAGCCCTGGTCCCAGAGCTCTTACTGTTCTGGCAGATCCAGGGGTTCTTCTCCCTGACTGTGACTTCGCGAGCTTCTGTCTCCTCTTCTTCCTCACCCTCTGAGAGCAAGTCAGAGATCTGCTGCTGCAGCTCGGGACTAATGTTGTTCTCTGCCAGGATGAGTGTCCGCAGGGCTGTGGGGTAATTCTCTACCATGTCCAGCAAGGTCTGGGTGGAGAGCGAGATAAACAGGCTGACAAGTAGCACAAACAACAGCTAGGTTGAGTGGAAAGAACTTCAGTACTCTGTCTCCCTGCAAACTCCAGCCCTTCTCTTACCTTTACGTTCCCTTGGCCTTGATCTCCCTTTGCCATGCTTTCTGAGAACCTGAGGACTTCCCATCTTTCTATGGGAAGAGCTGAGCCTGGATTTCCTGGCTCTATCTAAAAAGGAAGGAACTGCTCTGCACCCTGTTGCTGCCACATATCTAGGTTAGTCCTCTCTTACCACTGGTAGCTGGGGTTCTGAGATGAGAGCCTGTGCTACCAAGCCTTGGCCCCTATCTGTCCACAGACCTTTAGCTCTTATCCTCAATCACAAGTCCAATCCCTTCTTCCAAAAAAACCAAACTACAGATAGAGCTGCATGTTTCTCCCTGCTGACTTGAGGGAGATCCAGGAGCCCTAGGTCAGAGCTGTGGCTTACGAGCTCCTCCTGTGGCTGAATGCAATGATCCAGGGGAAGGCAACAGTACCCCTGGGCACAGGAGGGAAGGGGGTGCATGTGGGCATGGGGATGGAGGCAGGTATAGGTCCTAGGGCCTCTATAGACAGCCAAGACTTATATGCCCTTGAGACATCAGTGATGCTGTAGAGTAACTGTAGGCTCTCATACCTGAGCTGATTGGTTGGTAAGTCCTGTTCCCTCCAAGTCCAGAACTTCGAGGGTTCGACTGGAGGCCACAGCGACGGCGAGCATCCCTGCTACCTGGTCACCTGTGGGAAAAGCAAACTGAAGCTGTCAGGAGTACCTGCCTTCCCTCATGTAATACCATATGCCTTCTTTCTGCCATCAGACAACCTCCAAATCTCAGTTACCTTGGGGGGGAAAAAAAGAAAACAACTGTTAACTAAGAAAAGGAACAAGGTAAAGGTTCACCATTTTGTGGTTACAGGAGCAGTCACTGATTATCAGGGGGAACATGAACGAACACAATGAAATTGGGTTTATTCCCCAAGGAACCGTATCTTCCCAAAACTCCTTCCTACTCAAGGACAGGAGGGCCTTTAACAGTCCCATAAGGCATCCCAGATGCAGAATAAGGAACTGAGTACCTCGGTCTAGGGGGAGGTTGGAGCCAGACAGAGGACTCTGTACCGGCTGACAGACTGCCTCCCTGAAAAGGGGGCAGACTTTTGGGGGTGGATACAGCAGGACTAGGAGCATTAAAGATTGATGCTGGTGAAGAGGCAAGACTCCAGCATGTTCTGATATTCCCAACGAGTGCCAAGATACCATACAACTGTGACACCCCCTCTTGGAAAAAAACCCAGGCTGCTGTCAGGTAACACCCTGGGGCCTTTCCTGCCCAAGAGGAGGTACCTGGTCAGACAGACCTGGAGGGAGGCTCTGTTTCCAGACAGAGTGATGAGGGGAGCACCCGGCTGATGCTCAGGGAGGCATGGCCTGGTCTCCTCCTCACCACCTTGCAGCAGAGCTGGAGAGAGTTGGTTTCTATGGCAACGAGTGCCAGGCTCTCCTCCTCCTCCCTGCTCCACTGGGAAGATGAAGGGGGGAGCACGGGGACATACTGCATCTGCCAAGCCAGTATCGGCACTCAGGGCTTCAGGAACAGGGAAGATGTGGAGGGTCAAACGTGACAACAAAAGCATTGGAGTGGGCAAGGCACAGCCTCCTTTCTGCGCCTCCCTGCAGGGCACATGGCCACACAAGCAGAGCAGCAAGGCTGGCTTTCCCTGCAGCCAAAGGCGCCTGGCAGGGTGAACCTGCTGCTGGGGATCAGAAGACACCTATGCAAGAAGCTGCCCCATCCTGCTGGCGATGCTTTACTGCCTTTCTAGAGCTTGGTCCCCAGCCATCCACTGGCTCAAACTGCACAAACACTGAGAGGCAGGAGTGCAGCTGCCCCTGCTCCTCCTCCTTGGCCCCTCAGCTTACCTAGGGGGTTGTAGTCCAGGTTCAGCACGCGGAGCTGTGAGCTGTGAGCCACTGCAATGGCCAGGCGTCCCCAGCCTTTGCTTGTGACACCTGGGTTGGCGCTCAGCGTTAGCTCTTTGAGGCCTGGAGAAGAGAGAGAAGCCAAACCAGAGCCTTAAGGTCACCAAGGTGGTCTCAGAGAAACTAGTTCAGCTAACCAGAATGGCTTTGAGTTGTGTCCTCTGTACTCTGGCACTATAAAGGGTTTGGTTTGCTCTGACAACTGTCAATGCATATTTCACTGATCAGTGAAATATTTCACTGCCTTCAGCAGCAGCCCTTCATCTACCCACACTGTGACTGCCTCCCCCTAAATAACAAATACAATGGAAACAAGTAAGGGGTGTGTGAGGTGACTGACAAGAAGGAGGTGGCATGAGGTGACAGGTTGGAGAGAGGATAACAGCCACAGTAGGCTTTGAAGCCTGCACCTGCAAGGGGTGGCCAGCAGAGATAACAGCATCTGTGGCACTGGGAGCACATGGAGAAGAAGGTGCTGGAGAGAGGTGGAAAGCACTCAGAGTCAGAAGAGAAGGGTGGTGTTACCTCAGCACATGCCAGCTCTTGTCTTAACTGGCCCACTGGCCTCTGACCACCAGAGATCTTTCTCTGCAAAGACCTCAGTCGTGGCACTGAGGCTAGGACCATGCAACTACATACAGAGCGCACCCACAAGCAGGGACAATTCCCAGGCTCTGGCAATAAATCCAAATGCTGAGGTGGGGGGGCACACCATATATTAATCTACGGTCATTATCAACACACAAATGCAAAATAATAAATTCAAAGTCCAAGCTGTCCCCTCCTCCAGTTTCAAACGCTCCTGTCATGAACCAGAAGCAACCTGTTGGTCCCTGAGCTCCAAACTGCCAGCAGGACAGATCAATAGCAGAAAGCGCATGCCTGCCCAAGGGCACCACTCCTCTGTTGCTTGGCTTTTCTGCTTAAGTTGGGGAAACAAATTCCTTAGCCCAGGCAAACTACACAGCCTGCCTCCTCCAGGGATGAGGGTTTACTGCTGCATGCATCTGCTCTATGTGAAAGCTCCACCGGTCATTGTGCAGCCACGGCCCCTGGTGCTTACCGGACTTGGCCCCGTCAGGCGGCAGGAGCCCACAGATAAGGTTGATGCCTTCATCACCCAGCATGCAGTCTCCTAGATCCAGAGCCACCAGTGAGGGGTGGATGGAGAGAGCAGGGTTGAGGAGGGCCAAGCCTGCATCTGTCAGGGGACTCCCGTGGAGGCTGTGCAGGTAAAAGGGAAAATTACTATGGAGCCTTCTTCCTGGGGGCTAACTAACCTGGCCGGAGGGAGAAGCAGAGGAAATGAGGATGACAAATCCTAACCCCAGATGGGGAAAAAGTGCAGAGAAACCTCTGCTGCGAAGATCAGCTGGCTGCTACGGTGGCCCTCCTGTCTCAGCCAGGACGAGGGGGTGCACGGGGATGCCAGTGGGGCAGGGGCAGCGCCCAGCACCGGGGCAACCAGGTTGGAGGGGCTGGACTTAAAGCCAGGGCCATGCCCAGCCGGTGGGGGCAGAGGTGGCTCCCTCCCAGCCGGGTGAAGGGCGAGGGGTTACCCTCTGCAAGGTCAAGGGCGTTTCTTCCTCCGATAAGACTTAAATTCAGGGGCTGGCCCCGAGCTGCAAGCCCCTGAAAGAGCCGTCCCCGCCCGGGAGGGGGCCCAGGGGCACCCCCCGCTCCGCTGTACTCACAAGAGGGACTGGACGGATCGGTTCGTCTTCAGGGCCTCGGCCAGCTGCTTGACGCGGTTGATGTTGGAGACGATGCCCAGGTTGAGGTTGAGCTGGGCCAGGGAGCGGGACTCGGCCGCCCCCCGGCAGACGTGCCCGAAGTCCCGCTCGGAGAGCTGGCAGCCCCGCAGCGACAGCAGCCGCACCGAGTTCTCCCGCAGGCTCTCGCAGATGTCCCGGATCTCCGCCCCCGACAGAGTCTCCCCGGAGATCTGGATGGACCCCGGCAGCATCTTCCCCCGGCACGGGGACCCGCG